TTCCCGGAAACCCCCCGCCCTTCTGAGAGGCCCCCCCCCTGCAACTTCGGAGGAGGCCCAGAGAGCTCTTCAGCAGGCCGAGGGCCATCTGAGCCTTCTGAGAAACCCCGCCCCCTCTGTTTTTCCCCTGGGGTGACTCCTCGGAAGCCCTCCGTCCTTCTGAGAGGCCCCCCCCCCCCCTGCAGCTTCGGAGGAGGCTCAAAGAGCTCCTCCGCAGGCCGACGAGCCTTCCGAGCAGGCCCGCTTTTTCCCCCGGGCGCGCCACCGATCCTCCTCCTCCTCCTCCTCCTCCTCCTCCTCCTCCTCCTCCTCCCTCCTCCCTCCTCCTCCTCCTCCTCCTCCTCCTCCTCCTCCTCTTCCTCCTCCTCCTCCCCTCCTCCTCCTCCTCCTCCTCCTCCTCCTCCTCTCTTCACCCTCCTCCTCCTCCTCCTCCTCCTCCTCCTCCTCATCATCACATCATCATCATCATCATCATCATCATCATCCGCCTCCTCCTCCTCCGCCTCCTCCTCCCCCTCCCTCCTCCCTCCTCCTCCCTCTTCCTCGTCCCCCTCCTTCTCCTCCTCCTCCTTCCTCCTCCTCCGCTTCCTCCTCCTCCTCCCCTCCTCCTCCTCCCTATTCCTCCTCCTCCTGCTTCTCCACCTCCTCCTCCTCCTCCTCCCTCCTCCTCCTCCTCCTCCTCCTCCTCCTCCTCCTCCTCCTCCTCCTCCTCGCACGTGGCCGCGCGCCACGTCCGTCAGTCTACAGCCGCTCTAGCGCCCACCTCGCGGTGGGAATTATGAGGCCGACCTTGTCGGCCGAGATCGGGCGCTCGGGCTGTGCATGGAGATGCGTGAGCAAGATGGTGGAAGCAGCAGGAACGGCGAGGGAGGAGCGAGAGGGGAGAGCAATGCCAAGACGACCAAGAGAAGAGGTGGACGAGAAAGCCTGGAAATCAAGGTGCAACAGAGAGGCTAGATGACGTGTGAAATGCGGGCAGCACCAGTAGTGCGCGAGCTCATCGAGCCCGTCACTGCAGCCAAACATGCATGGCGAAATTTATTGAAACCTCCTGTCGGTGGCCCATACACCCATCAGCACCTTAAGAACGGCCATCGAGAACGAGACACTGGAACGAGAAAGCTCGGACCGCAGGGCATCCCACGGAAGACCACGGGCCTCAGGAAGGGAGATGGGCATCCACTGGGCCAGCCGAGAGGCAAAAACCTCAGAGAGACACGGTGGGTGGAGGCACTCAGAAATCTTGATCTTTAAATGACGTTGAACATTGAATTTGCTGGGGTCTGGTGCCTCAGCAGTCGCTTCAGCTAGAGATTCGATGGCGAGTCTGGCGGCGCGTGAGACACTCCGTTGAGAGCGAGCATTGGACGCGACAAGATGGGAGCCGACGGGGCGAGGGAAGGCAGCGCCAGCAGCAGCAAGGAACTCGCAGAACGAGGGGAGAAGCCACAAAGATGGCGAGAGCGAGTGATGGACGACACGCTGGACGATGGGGAGTTGCTCTTCGGCAACAGCAGAGAGAGCTGGAAGCATCTCTCTCCAGGAAACAATGTGCAGACGGCTCGCTCGGATCAGAGCAGCGATAGAAGTAGCCTGGATACTAGAGACTCGAGGGCCGCCCCACTGGGCGAGCTCAAACCACCCCGCACGGGGGATCACACGGTTCGGGGTCCGAAAAAGACGAGCAAACATTGCTGGCTCTTGTCTGGCAACTTCAGACGGGAGAGGCAACAATTGAGACACATAGCTGAGCACTGAAGCCACTCTGCTTTCGTAGTTCTGAGCGGTGGCCGAGAACGGCGCACCCTGGGAGGCCAGTCTCGAGCCACGGTCCAGCCATTTGGCGACGGGAACTCTCCAGGAGTGGAGCAGCGCGGCAGGGCCTAACCAGAGGCCGAGGTATTTCAGCACGGGAGTGACCTCAAAGCAAGCCCAGGCGGGCAGACTCCTGGCAAGCCATCTCACATATCTACGCGCGAGGATCGGCGAGTCGGCGTCAGCCAGCGGCACGATCTTGCATTTCGTCGCCTTCAGCTTCAGTGCCGCGGCCCGTTCAATTGTCGAGAAGGCGCGGTGCAAGAGACGTATGTCTTCCAGTCGGCGAATAGATGCACCCACGTCATCAGCACAAGCACGCGCAATGCCAGCGGAGTGGCGAGAGAGCGTGGCCTCCATATCAGTGAAAAAGCAGCCCGTGGCAATGGCAAACAGCGTGCCCGAAGCCGGGCATCCTTGGATAATCCCACAATCCTGAAAGAACAAGAAGAGGGTAGAGGTCACGAGCGCACCATAGCACATCACATTCGTGTAAATAGTGTAGACCAGCGTGCGCAGAGGGTCGGGTACATTCATGGGGCCCAGCACTCGGTGAAGCCATTGGTGGCTAAGACTGGGAAAGACCGGTCCAAAGTCAAAACTGATAAGGGCGGGAAGGTCAATCAGAGCCGAGGGCGACATGGAATGAATGGGTGAGATGGCGTCTAGTTCGACGATGTTGTTGCCAAAATTTCTGAAGCGAATGAACCCTCTCTGTATTTTGGCGGCGAACGATGGCATGATCTTGTTTAGATCAAGAAAGGATACACCAACAATAATCTTGTTATCCGTGCTTTTGAGGCCAAGGGGTCGAAGAGCACTCGCGGAGCGAATACATTGATTCTGGACGTCCTCCTCCTCCTCTCCTTTGGGGATAAATACCATCAGGACCGAGTTGAAGCCTCTAGACATGGGTTGCCCATTGAGGACCCAGGAGAGGGCCTCGAAGAGCACGTCGCAAAGCATATGGACCGTACTTGTAAGCACTATAATAGATGGCATCAGGACCAGGGGCCGAGTCGGTGAGGTGTCTGATGTATTTTCCATATCATGATAACGGGGGGAAGGGAGGTCACGAAGATCGACTTGGGTACACCAGCGGTCCGAATACCTTTGTCCTGCGTTTTCGCCCACTGGTTTCTTCCGAAATACCTGTCCCCAATGAGTGGCAATCACGTTTTGCATCTCGAGCTGGTCAGTCAAGATGCGGTTGCCTGAGCGAACCCCAATCAGCTGCAGGCGTCTGTCAAAAGGGGCCCACAGCCGGCTGCGCCTGACCAGACGTCTGAGGCGCTGGCGGAGCTTAGCACGCTTAGACTCCGACTTCGCAGCAGGTAGCTGGTCCGTGATCCTGCGCTGCTCGCGGACGGCCTCCTGACACTGAAGAGCGTCCAGCATATCAGAGAACCTCTGAGGATCCAAGAGGGGGACTCTGGAGGCGATGGGGTCCACGTTGAGGAGCTCTAGGGCCATGGGGTACATCATCAGCTTTCGGGCGAAATTCATATCGTTTCTCCAACCGCATCGGCTAATAGATCTCATAAGTAGTAATTGTGCGGCTGGGTCCTGAGGGGCTTCTCGTAGGAGGGCATTGCGAGCCTGTCGGGCACCTTCTTTCAAAACCTCCTTGTAGAAAAGCAACTTCTGGGGCGGGCTGAGAGATGACACGTCACTCTCCTCCCAGGTATGCTGGACAAACTGCTGCTTAAAGAGCGGGAGCTGAAAAAAAACAAAAAAAAAAAAACTGCTTGGCGATTGGGCGGGCATCCACATCGGGAGGCTCGCGATGACGGAGATGAACGAGAAGGGCGGCATGATCTGATATTCCTTGTTGTTCAAGTGTTTCTGGGCATTCGCATACAATTATGTCCACCTGGAGACAAGTAAGGTAATGACCAGGAAGGCGGGTAAATATTCTGTCTATCTTCGATGTGTGTTGTTGTGCTCCATTATAGTGTGTAGGTTCAGAACATTCTACCTCAACCAATGCCGAAAATATCTCCTGCCAGGCAGAGGCCCTCTGCCGTCGCCACTCTTGGAGGCCAGCGTGGGGCTCGAGATGAGCAGGCGGCGTGCTCTGCTGAGGCGGCTCCGCACAAAGATTAAAATCACCAGCAAACACAAGGACATACCGATCTGGGGTACGGCGAGCACGGGCAAGTTCTTGTTTGATCCGATCAATAACTCTCCTAGTAGTCGTAGCATTATCTAAATCATGATTATGAATGTTGACGTGGGAGATGAAGAAGTGTGAGGAATCAGGCGCGGTAGAGATCGGTCCCAGATCCAATCGGCAGTGCAAGACTCTCCCAGAGACCAAAATCTCGGACTCGCACTGAGCCAGCTCATGGAACCCATTCTCTGGGGTAAGGGCGGGAAAGATTGTCGCCATTCCACCTCGCCCACGCGAGTCAGTAAAGGAGGCCTCCTCCTCCTCCTCCTCCTCCTCCTCCTCCTCCCTCCTCCTCCTCCTGCTTCTCTTCACCCTCCTCCTCCTCCTCCTCCTCCTGCTCCTCCTCCTCCTCCTCCTCCTCCTCCTCCTCCTCCTCCTCTCCTCCTCCTCCTCCTCCTCCTCCTCCTCCTCCTCTCCTCCTCCCTCCTCCTCCTCTTCCTCCTCCTCCTCCTCCTCCTCCTCCTGCTCCTCTTCACCCCATACTCCTCCTCCTCCGCCGCTTCCTCCTCCGCTGCTCCTCATCCGCTCTCGTCGTCGTCACCGTCCCCTGCCCTGCGATCCGAAGTTGCGACAAAAAGGCATCATCGCGAAAAATCGAGGCAGGAGCCCCAGACCCTATCCCTATGCGGCACCTTCCGAGCCGATCCAGCCGTGAGGGTCCCAGGACCCGACGCTGGGCGAAAACGCCTGGCGTGAAACAAATGCACACGTCTGGATCTCAGGGTCGTCTTGCTTCGGGTCATAACTCGGGTCTCTGGCGGCCCTTCGGGACGATCTGGGCCCTGTAACCTCAATTCCGAGAAAGTCGTCCTTCCCTCGTCGTCGTCGTCGTCGTCGTCGTCGTCGTCGTCGACGTCGTCGTCGTCGTCGTCGTCGTCGTCGTCGTCGTCGTCGTCGTCGTCGTCGTCGTCGTCGTCGTCGTCGTCGTCGTCGTCGTCGTCGACGTCGTCGTCGTCGTCGTCGTCGTCGACGTCGTCGTCGCCGAGCGGCGTTCGTGTTAATGCCGCTCTGCCTGTGCAGCCCCGCCGAAACAGATGGCGCGGCGTGAGCGGCGGCGGGGGGGCCGCCGAGCTCCTGTCGGGTGCGGGGGCCCAGCCGCCGATGCCGCGGCCGCCGGTGGGGGGCCTCTACAGTCGGATGTGGTCGGAGGGGTACGCGAGGCACAAGCCCCTTCCGGGGGGGCCACACTGCCACAGGAAGGGTCGCGAAGACACAGCGCGGATCCAGGCCGTGGCCTTTTCAAAAGCCACGTGACACAACGGCGCCCGTGATTTGGCGGCGTCGACCTACTAATCACACTCGAATGGGCCAGAACGAACTCTGAACTACCACGTGCCAAATGCGTGCCAGCGGCTCTTCTGAAACAAGGATATCGAAGGCAATAGCAGTAGCGACCAGAAGCTGTCAGGCGAGCGCGGCCAAAATTCGGGCAAAATTATGCGGGACAACGGTCGGGGGGGACGGTCCGGCTTCGATTCCGACGTGTTCGTCACATTCTGTGCGGTTTTCCAGCCTCGGGATATTCTCCAGAAGTTGCGCCTCGCCGAAAACGTGACGTGCGTGCCCAGATCGCCCCGAACGGCCGCTGGAGAGCCGAGCTTTGACCCGAAAACCGAAGGACTATCTCGGGGGGAACATCGTCGCCGAGGAACTGGCGGTAAATCGCCGATCGATCGGCGATGGGGCCTCGATAGTCGAACCTCACGGTCGTGGGCGGGGTGGCGCTACCAGGCCTCAATCGGCGATGAACGGGCGATTGGGAGTCCTCCAACAAATATCACGACGTCTGGGTATTGTTCTCCCTGCGTTTCGAGAACCCCCGCCTCTCCCATATGATGCGCACGAAGCCACACTCTCAATGCTAGAAAACTACGGAACACTTCGCCCTCGAGAATATCAGGGTCGCTGCAGCACACGCGCCGCCACACGGAAATGATGTGTCGGCGGCGAAGATACAGGAAGGGCTCCGCCTGAGAAACAGGCGAAGGCCATGGAGTGGCGATTGGCAGGGGATGAGCGGACTTGCGGGCGGGGGGGACCGAGGAACCTGCAATCCATGCCCGTGCGTTCCACCATCGGCCCCCATCCCAGAGCGGAAATCAGAAGGAGCGGGTTTTCTCAGAAGGCTCGGAAGTCCTGTGGGTACAGGGAGACGGCCGAGGGGCCGTTCCTGACCGGGGTCCGCACGTAGAGGCAAGGGGGATGACTCCTTCTCCAAGGCACTGCGCAGCGTGCAGTGCTCTATGGTTAGTGGCCAATACCTGAACCAATACAGTTGCGGAAGGGGTGCAATGGGGAAATGAGCGGACTTCACACACACAACACACAACACACAAAACACAACACACACACACCACACCAGCCCCCGGTGACCTCGGGCCCGCGGGAGACAGCGGCAGGGATCGGGAGCAGAGGTGCGAGGTCCACTCGCAGCCCCGTTTCATCCTCCGCCCTTTCAAACGAGGGCGCATTGACTAGGAAGGTGAGGGAGGGGGCCCACCCCGCCACACGGGGCACTTAGGCGCGTCAGCCCGCCTTAGCGGGCCCAGGGTGCGCCCCCCAAAAACGCTTCGGCATTCCTGAACGACACTCCGCCTCCACTGGTGACAGGGGTGGGAGATCAAGGGAAAGAGAAAAGGAAAGTGGCACCAGCAAGTGTTGCCACCGACTCGGCGCACGCGTAAAGTAAGGTGGCTCAGAAATGTGACGACAACTCGATCAAAGTGAACATATATTTCGTTCGCGGGGCTCTCCAAGGCCAAAAGATTGCTAGGGCACGCCAGGCCCAAATTTGATTATATGCATGGGTAATTGGGATGACAACTGATCTGTGATATTATATCACGCATGATGCGAGGCGCGCCAGGCCCCAGAAGTGCGTGGAGAAGTTGAACGAATATGACCATGGATAATGGTTTGCATCGGTCGTACTCTGACGCCGTTCCATGATACATAGAACGAATAGATTTGGATGTATAAGATTACTGGCGGACGACCTGCCTGGGTGCGTTTATGTCCGATTGCCAAATCATGCCATGTAAACCAACATCAATGCCGACATGCAGCGCAACATCAAATATCTCAAATCAAACGTTACAACTGATGAGATAGCTCAAGAAACAAATGAATGATGAACGTTAAATCAGTGCCAGAATCTGTGGTGATCAAATAAACACCATGATAGACAATGAAACATGTCGGTCGCTAATCACGCCCAGTTCTCGTAGCGCGTCCCGTTGTCGCGGCAACGCTCATCCCAAACGCGATTCCCGTAGACATTGAACCAACTGGTGGTAATAGTACCGTAGTTATCACATGGCCAGATGCACTCGTTGTCGTCGTTGTCGACATAGACCCATTGGGACAAGTGGCGTGACCAGTGACAGTGCGCATCGCGTTGGTAGTGCTGGAGTCTGCGACGCCACCAAATGTAGACGTTGCGGCACTCGCGCGCGGCTCTCCGGTTACGGCCACGGTCGTCATCGCAGTCGTGCTCGCGCCTCGGTGGCGTCAAGGGACGGCGCGATGTCGATGAATGGGCGGCCCCAGCCCAGTCCGCAGCGCCAGCCCAGCCAGCGCCGCCAGGGGTGTAGGCGGCAGCGGGGCCATCGCGGCGCGGGGGTGGAGGAGCGGGGGCGAGGCGGAAGGGTTCCTCGGAGGCGACAGTAAAGTTAGCTGTCTTACCCTTGGCAGCGCCTTCGGCCACCTGCGCGAAGTTGACCTCGCCCCCTCCCCGAGGGAGCGGCGAAGGTCAAGCGCTCGCGGTCGAGCCGCTCGACGCGAGGCATTGCTCTGGGAGCCTGTGCCCGCGGGCCAGCCTGCCCGAGCCGCTGGCTCTCGCGATGCAGGCGCATCCCCTCGCGCATGTCGTCGATTGTGAATAAGCGCAGGTGCGCCTGCACTCTGTCTGCCGTCATCTGACGGTGGAAGACGCCATCCCCGTGGAATCGGTGGGCAATGTCGGGGCGCGGATGATAGAGGACCGTTCCCTCCTCGCCAGCATCTTCCTGTCCACCGACGCGGCGTTGGCTGGGGCTGGGGCTGCCGGCCCCCAACTACTTGGAGTGTCGGACAGCGGCTTTGTGAGCCAGCATGCGAAGGTAGTCATTTTTAGTGGATTCATCGGAACGCGCGCCAATAACGCGAACCTGGACATCCGCGGGCATTATTTGACGCGCGATGTTCTCGTCCATCTGATCGCGGATCCAGTCGTGCACGTCAGCCAGAACTGGACCCGGTGCGAACCTGTTCCCCCCCCGCTGGAATGACGCAGAACAAGTGTGGCACAGGCCATCGGCATTTGGGTCGTCGTTGGGGAGGTCGCGGTAGCAGCTTGCACAATGCTGCGCTGCGGTCTGGCAATCAGCAGCTCCGTTCTCGATCAATTGTTGAATCCGCCTGCGGGCGTTGCCACCAGCGCCCGACTCTCGGCCGATTTCGTGAACAACGCGATTCGGAACGAGGCCGGCGCGGTCGGTGGCAAAATCATCGGCCATTGATCGCAATCCCTTGTCCGTCATGGGATCAGAGGGATCCCCGTCCAAGATCTCATGGCGATCGCGGCGTGCTGAGGCCGCGCCCTGGCGGCCTCTGAAGAGTTTCTCCGCTCTGCGGCGGAACTCCTGGCCCAGTGCGCCGTCGTCGCTAGGGTCGCCCATGACGTCGTCACAGCCGGAACGCGCCACCTCGATGAGCTGTTCCTGCGCGGGGGCAACGGCAGACGCAACGCTTCCAGGGTCAGGGGCAGGGGCGTTCGCAGCATCGGGCGGCGGAGTGGCGGAAGCCTTGAGCATAGATTGATCGCTAAGCGGGTTCGTCGGCATGTCACCGTACTTCTTGTCTGATACCACGGTCGTCTCCCAGAGAATGAGTAGGGGCGCCGACACCGGGTGATTCTTGAGAATGTCCGTCGAAGGAGTCGTCGGCGAACGAAGTCCAGCATCACTCTGAGGAATGACGAACAGATGTGGGACCCAGCGAGACAATGCCAAATCGTCGCCATCGCCCCAATCATCTCCGTCATCGCAGCAGACAGGACACGATTGCGCCCGCAAATGTTCGACAATTCTTTGGCCCAGGGCCAGAGCGGGTTGAAGTTCATCTTGCGCCACTCCGCCTTGGAGTCAAAGCGGAACCGTATCTCCAGATGACTAGTATGCCAGCATCTGTCTCCGCATGTTGCCGCGCGTACCTGGTCCACCTCCAATAGTGGAGTCTGCAGCAACCCAACAGCTCGTGTATTTCTGCCGGTCCTGCGAAGGTCATTCAGCTCCGCTGCCGAACGCCTGGCAAAAATGAGTGGTAGGTCATCGGTGACTTCGATCGTTGTGATCAGCTGTGTCTCGTCGATCTCGATGTCCTGATTGTTGCGCTGTTGGAGTGCGGGCGCGCCCAGTGGCTTGTCGATGCCAGTCTCGCCATCGAGAAGTCCAAAGTGGGAATCGACATCGTGCGGTCTCAGGTGTCAATGTACATCTCGCTCATTTCGGCATGCAGTGGAACTGCGAAGCCAAAGCCATTATGCTCCATATTCTTGTTCCCGGCATGCCAAATGATGGCCCAGAACGGGCCGCGGCCTCGAAAAGGGATCCGTGCACTGACGCATGGGCCATTGCGAGCAATGTCGAGGATGGGTCCGTAGATCTCACCACTGCCCAGCGCGAGCGCGACATCTTTCTTCGCGGCGGGCCGCAAGCGATCAACGGCGCGGCGCCGGGCCGAACCCTGCAGTCGTGTGTATATGGAGTCGTTGATGCGGATATTCTGAAAGCGACTGCAACGATCCCATGTGCCAAGAGGAAGAGCCCCCACCAAAGGTTCGAAATACTCTTTATTGCAATCGTCCACAACCGTCCACCAGAGAGCCATGGTTTGAATGGCATCGTCTGTCAGAGTCGGTGCAGGTGTCGCCACTGGCTCCCCTCCGTACAGGAGATGGTCCAGTTGCGACAGGTCCTGCTTCGGCACTGGTTGGGGACCTGGGATATTTGGGACACTCGGGGCAGCAGAGGAAGAAGAGGAACGCGTGCCGACAGGCATTGGCTTCGCTTTTGGTACCTGGATATGCGTCCGCAACGACTCTGCTACTGGTGTTGCCACGGGCGCAATCTCGCAGACCTCGGATTGGCTGCGTGGCGCCAGCAACTTGACCAAACCTGGATACTTCAAATTCAAATTGGATGGCCATAGAGCGCTGCCACCGACCGTTCTGATGGTCATAATGGCCATCGCTGGGAAAGTCTGGGGGCGCACGATGGCCCCTTGTTCGCCGAATCAGAGATCGCAGCCAATGCTCATGGCTGAGCGTATGCCGATGACCACGTCGACCTGCTTCTTCTTGTGCTCGAACTTGTATCCAGGGGTCGCACAATGAGGGTTCTGTGTGTCATAACGCATGACAGAACTGGTACTGTAAAATGCCTCTTGCGGTGTGTGGCGGTCGGCTCCATAGCCTGGAACAGCACCAATATTCCGAATGCTCGTCCAGGCATCCCTGGTAGTAGCATGGTGTAAGTACTTCATATCCGTCCAGGACAAGCGCATCCAGCCCACATTCCATGGCTGGCTGTTGCGGTGTACGGCAGTATGACCACCAATGGCACGCATGGCCAGTGTTTGATCCCATGCAAAGTCTGTTCCCAACAACTCTGGGTTGGGACGGCGGACGAACACCTGGAAGCGGGCCTTCTCATCGTCGATACGCAGCTGCATGGCACGCAAGACGGTGATCACGTAGTACTCTTGTGCACTTTGCCATGGCTGGTCAGCACCGCTGGCCTGATGCATGTGTGCTTGTACTGCTTTCCGATTTGGGCCGCAATCCTCGCGTTTGAATGCGTCGGAGACGATCTGGCTGAAGGAGTTCTGGTGATTGGCGACGGCCCAAGTCTCGACGTCCGCGTGGCAGTCCCAAATATTGACACGGCGGTCGAGGAATTGATCCAAACCGTTGCGGCCGCCGTTGTCGTGTCGGGGTGCGGTTGATAGAGCCTTACTGAACCACCGTGGAGCTCCCATAGTGTGACTAGGATACGTCGGACCAACCAAGAGGGGTAGCACAACGAAGTTGTGACGCCAACCGGCGGAATCAAAGATGACGCGAATTGCAACAGCAAAAAGCGGTTAAGAAAAGGCTGGTAACCTGTGAGTACAGGGAGACGGCCGAGGGGCCGTTCCTGTACGGGGTCCGTAGGCAGAGGAAAGGAGGACTACTTTTTTTCCAAGGCACTGCGCAGCGTGCAGTGCTCTATGGTGAGTAAGCCAATACCTGAGCCAATACAGTTGCGGAAGGGATGTAATAGGGAAGTGAACGGACTTCACACACAAGTCCTCTGGCCTTCTGAGAAATTCTCAAAGCCTTCCCGGAAGCGGGAAGCGGGAATCAGCGCTGCGTGGGGCACCCGCGCCCGGGCCCCTGGAGGGCAGTCGGGCTCGCTGAGACACGGACGATTTCTCGGAAGGTGCGAGGGCTTCTGAGGAATCCCGCCGCCTTCTGAGAAGGCCTTCTCCTTTTCACTTCCCCCCCTCGCTCGCCGCTGAAGAAAGCCAGCTCTGGGGGGAAACCCGTGGGCCTGTACCAGAGGTCGCTCTGGCGAGGGGTCACCTTTACACGTCGCCGATGCTCTTTCTCATACTAGGGTGGCCTGTTTTCAAGCCAGCCGCAGCTGCCTGGTGGGGGCTGTATGTGCGAAGTCTGCAGCCCTACCATCTCCCAATCTCCCCCCATTTTCGTCCGACCAGACCGTGGAACCACGACGGCGACGACCTCACGACAGAAAAGACAACGACGACGACGACGACGACCGACGACGACGACGACGACCGACGACGACGACGACGACGACGACGAGCAACGACGGCGACGACGGCGACGAGCGACGACGAGCGCGCGAGTAGCCTCGGATGACGACGACGAAAACGGCGCGTCCACGATGGTGTCCTTGGCCTTTGCCGCCGCGGGCACGCCGCTCGGGGCGGCTCCGGGCGCCGAAGCGGGGGTGGCCACGCCCT